CTGAGACCGAGCTCAACAATGCCCCTCCGGTGATAGATCTGGAGGGTGACTTTCCACCCCAAAGACCTGAGGCTGCGAGGGGCTTGGAGAACGAGGCGGCGGTGTCCAGTTCGGGAGCTGGAGAGGAGGAGTCCATCTTGGATCCCGAGGTCGGCCTCGACCTAAGTAAGAGGGGCGTCATTAATGCAGAGGTCGTGAGTTGGGCCGAACTTTCCCCAGGTCAGCTTGGGGGCCGCGCAGCAACCCACATCATGGTGGTAAGTTCATATTCGAGCTACTCTTTGCTGGTAGGCTGCGGTCCTGATGTACGCGAGGTCCCTTACTTCGTCGAGTAGATCGAGGTTGGTACAGAACTCATCCTCATTCGTCTGGTCACTGTATGCTTCTAGCCGCAGCGTAGGGACTTCAATCTCTACGGGGATAACTGCTTCGGTGCCGTAGGTGAGGTTGAAGGGTGTTTCTCCCGTGGCGGTCTTCTCCGTGGTCCGGTAGGCCCATAGAACATTGGGTAGCTTATCTGCCCACAACCTTTTAGCTCGGTCTAGCCGTGCTTTCAGTCCGCGGATGATGGCTCTGTTCGTGACTTCTGCCTGACCGTTTGCTTGAGGGTGTGCGACTAAAGTTCCCAGGTCTTGGCACCAGTCTTGGAATTTGATGTCCTCGAACTGCTTGTCGTTGTCAGAAATCAATACTCGAGGTAACCCGAAACGACACACGATGTTCTTCCAAAATAAGTTTTGGACGTTCCGGGCTGTGATCGTTACAAGGGGTTCAGCTTCTACCCACTTGGTAAAATAGTCCAATGCTACTACTAAGAACTTCCTCCCACCCAGTGCTGGCGGGAATGGCCCGAGTAGATCGATGCCCCACTGTGCAAAGGGCCACGGGCTGGTGAGATACTTGAGGTTGGTAGTGGGTTGGTGGTGAATATTGGCGTGCTTCTGGCATTTGTCACATTTTCTAACGATCTCAATAGCATCTGCCATCATTGTTGGCCAATAATACCCCTGTCGAAGTGCCTTCTGGGCGAGGGCCCTGCCCCCAAGTGTCCGCCGCACAACCCCTCATGAGTGTCGCGGTAGTATGAGCTCAGCTTTGATAGGTCGCAAGCAACGCAGGTAGGGGAGAGTGTAGGATCTCCGGTATAGTCGTTCGTCTATCATGACATATTTGGCTGCGTGACGCAACACCCTTCTGGCTGCATTGCGATCTGCAGAGAGGGTCCCGTGTAGCAAGAAGCTCGCGAGCGGGTCAATCCAGCTCGGCTCTGCTTGAATGACGGGAGCGACCTCCTCTGCCCCCCCGACAAAGCTAGGCCGAGGCAGGTCCTCTATGTACACGGTTCTCATGTTGATGTCGCTGGCGCTGGTTAATCTGGACAGGGCGTCGGCCTCAGTGTTCTCCGACCTAGGGATTTGCCTGATAAAGTGTGACTGGAATTTGAGCAGGACTTCTTTGACTTTGGCTAAGTAGGCGACCATGGTTGGCTCGCGAGCTTCGTACTCGCCGGTGACCTGGTTGACCATGAGCTGGGAGTCGCTGCAGATAACGATGTGCTTGGCTTTTACTTCTCTGGCTAGAGCTAGTCCAGCTATCAACGCTTCGTACTCCGTTTCATTGTTAGATGCCGCGAACTCGAAGCGTAGCGCATACTCCAGTTTCGAGCCACTTGGGCCGTGCAGAACTATTCCGGCTCCGCTGCCCTGTTGGTTCGAGGAGCCATCTATGTGAAGGATCCAGGGCTCCTCATCCCAGCTCGCGCTTGGCCGGACTAGGAGAGATGCCACATTGGCTGCTACCTCACGGGGCTCAGACTCGACCGAACTGGGAGCTTCGGGCTCACCTGAGCTGGGAGCCTCGTGCTTAACTGTCCTGGGAACTTCAGAGCTGAATGTGCACTCGGCGATGAAATCTGCTAAGGCTTGGGCCTTAATGGCGGTTCACGGCTTGTACTGGAGGTCATACTCGCTGAGCTCAACGGCCCACATCGTCAACCGACCAGAGACCTCGGGCTTAAGTAAGACTTGCCTCAGAGGTTTGACGGTGAGGACGATAACAGTGTGAGCCTGGAAGTACGGGCGGAGCTTCCGAGCTGCAATTACCAGTGCGTATGCTAGCTTTTCTATGTCTGGATATCTCGTCTCTGCTCCCTGCAATACTTTACTAACATAATAGACGGGTCGTTGAATCCAATCTACTTCCTATATTAGCACCGAACTGACCATTTCGTCGCTTGCCAAGAGGTACAGTTCTAGAACATCGTCCTCCTTGGGCCGGGTTAAGATCGGCACACTACCGTGGTATCTTTTGAGCTCGTCAAACGCGAGCTGGCAGTCTTGGGTCCACTCGAACCCTTTGCTCTTAATTGCCTTAAAGAATGGCAGACAGCAGTCCGCTGATTTGGACATGAACTGGTTCAGGGCGGCTATGCGGCCATTCAACCTCTGAACTTCCTTCAACTTCCGGGGTGGTCTCATATCCAAGATGGCCTTAATCTTATCTGGGTTGGCCTCAATGCCGCGACGGTTAATGATGTATCCTAGGAACTTGCCCGAGGTCACACCGAATACACACTGGTTTGGGTTCAATCTCATATTAAACTTACGCAAAATTTCAAAAACAGAATGCAAGTCTTGTATTAATTCATGTGAAAATTGGG